AGTATGACATCACCGTAGGCACAGTCCTCCTCGATGGCCAGGTTGTAGTCTCCTCCCTTTCCTCCTTTATATGTGCTTGTCACAATGCGCAGCCAGCCCATCTCTCCCTGCAAAACCAAACATATAGTTACATTTTTAACCATCACTCACAGGGTCAGTCCTCTCACCAGTATGAAAGGTAAGTGGACTAGCCCTTTAAGTTTTTAATTTCACTAGTGGCCAGGTCAAAGCACCCAATATGCTGCATACTGACTGTCTGTGCCAGCATAGAGAGATGAGGCCATGGTAAATACAATAGATTCTCTTGTGTGAAATGGAAGGGGAGGATGCTGGGAACACGCATGCATCATCGCTCTATTTGGTACTTCTCAGTATTTTCTTTCTGTGGTGCAGTACATGCATTCTATGATCTTTGTAAGATACGTTTGCATCATACTGCTGTGTTTGGAAGTATTCTGTCACTGGTTTTCACACATGAGCTTTAATGAGATAGATATATTTTTAAAAGCAATTTTCTTTTTAAAATTAGATTTAAAACTAAATGAGGTTTGTAGTGTAGTGTTGCACTATCAACTATTGTATTGTTGTGTATCAAAATTGCTTTTTTTTTTTTTTAAAGATACAAAATGTGACAAGTATTTTCACATTTTGTATTTAAATCCAGTCCTACATTCTCAGTGTTGCTGCAGCTTCTTTACAGCCACTTCCTGTCTACATACGCTCCAGTGACAGCTGGATGGCATTTCTCAGGCTGGGTTTCCTGATGGTGATAACCAGGGCTCGAAAATCCACTCGTCCGCTCGTCTGTGACGAGCAGACAGTGGAGCCCGACGAGCTGCTTCCCGGCCGGCTGTTGTAATTACACGGCCGCCCGGGAGCTTTACAGTCAAGTGATCGAGCGTCTATAGAGACGATCGCTTGTATCAGAAGCTGTCACTGCCTGTCCCGAGATCCGCTGTACCCGATGCGGCCGGGACTGGCACGGCTCTGTGACAGGATCAAAGGGAGTTCAGTATACGAACTCCCTTTTGATCTCCTCTCAGTCCCCGAATGCAGGAAGTGATGTATATTACATCACTTCCTGCAGTCAGTGTCACTCTCCAGCTACATTCACCCAGAGTATCACCATCCCCTCACTGATCTGACTAACCGGCGCCTGTCAGCTCCCGTTACGTACCGCCTCCCGCACACTGCGCAGATGCAGCGTGCCTAGTCTGCACTCTATATTGTTTGGTTCCCCTTGGTTATCCCCCACACTGCCCGGAGCCCACACTGATGATCCTGATCCTCTGCACAGGCCGCCCATCTTCTGATCCCTGGATCTACACGTAAGTGTCATCACATTTATTCTCTGCCATTGATTCTTTACCACCAGATTGACCCCCTGTTTTTTTTTATATATATTTCAGTCCAATTAGTGCTTTATTGTTGTGTTTGCTGTTGCGCCCTCCGTGTTCCTTTGTTGTTACTCTCCAGCTTCAGAAGCTGATGAAGCCCATCTCTGCTTCATCAGCTTCTCTGGTGGTCCCTAGGTGACTTTAGGGGTCTTGGAGACCCCTGATGTCTCCATTAAGAGGACCTGTCATGTAAATTAGCTATCCCATAGGGGGCTTCTTAGCCCCCCATGTAATAGCAATAAAGTTGGTGTTAAATAAAAATTAAAGAATCATAAAAGAAACATTAAAAAGAAAACATTTTTTCAAGTCCCCCCACGTAGATATGCGTCGGGTGCGCCTACGTGCGAAAATGACGATTGTGCCGCACGTGTTACGTGTTACGTGTTACGTGGTACATGGTACATGTCACCGCGAGAGCAATAATTCTAGAGCCATCAATCACTGATAACACTAAACTGAGCAGTAAAAGCATTTTAATTGTCGCGTATGGGCGTTTTTTTTTTGCGGGCGCATGCAATTTTAAGGCTTGACATGTTTGGTGTCTATTTACACGACGGGACCCCGACTTTTATGTTTTACTAAAAATATGGGTAAGAATAAATGTTTTATAACATGGGGAAACTTTTTTTTTTACATTTTAGGGTACTTTTTTTCATTATAAAGTAAAAACAAATAACCCCCCGTGGGGTCACAAAAGAAAGCTCTATCTGTCCCCAAAATTTTTTAACGTATATTGCAAGGCTATAGTCCGGTCATGCTGACTGGTGAAATTTGTGACTGACTGGTGAGACAGCGCAAAATTTTTCAAGCCCTGGTGATACAGTAGACTATGCCTGCATAATGTGCGTTTAGAATGGTCACTTGCGGTCTCCATCTGAAGCCTGTGTGGCAAGGTGATAATGTAAGTTCTGGGGTCCCGTCATAAAGGCAAAACCTCACCAGTCCCACAATATGGCTAGCAGATGGCGCTCCTCTATCTCCCCCCTCAGCTGTGTTTTCTGGTATAAGGCCTGCTGCCGGAATTTCATTTGCTTTAAGTGTTTTGCATTCCTGTATAAAGTCTTTGGAAATATAAAAGCCACTTGAAGTCGATCAAATACACGCTCTATGAATTCTGAATGATTGCAACAGTGTGTGGAACGAATGCAGACCCAAAGTCTGACACATGGGGCCCCAAGGCTAACTCTTATCTTGCCTTTTACATACAAGTAGCGCTTGCTGGGTGTGATGTCGGCAATGGCAACCTGCAAGTTATTAAAGTTTTTTCCTTTTTTAAAGTATCTCTATATTTTGTGTCTAATTAAAAATCTGATCTGTGATATTTATACCGTCTCCTTCACACCGGGGTAGATTTCACTTTACTTCCCGGCCCGGAGACCCAACAAAATGTCCCTACTGGAAGGTTTTATGGTTTCTCATCACTTTCTGTCTCGGTGAGCGCAATGTCTGTGCTGTCTCGGTGAGCGCAATGTCTGTGCTGTCTCGGTGAGCGCAATGTCTGTGCTGAGGAGGATTCAGGTGGGTGCTGCAGAGGACGCTCAATACAATGCGTTATGTTGTGTTCCAGGCCTTGTGTACCTGTCAGGTCAGTGCCCATGTGATGTGCTGCCACAGAGTCTGATTAAGCGATCCAGTGCGTTCAAAGGACTGTGAGATGAACGCACGGGGTGGTGAGAGCGGGCCCTCAGTCATAGTGTTGATTTTGTCTTTATATAATGTTCCCGGTGCCCAGCGTTGTGTAGAAATATTGTGCGTTCTTTACTCCTGAGTTCTGTGTTTACTGCTAAGTTCTGCGTTCTTTACGCCTAAGCTTTACTGCTGTGTGTTCTTAACACCCGAGCTGTGCGTGCTGATCAGTGTGTTTTATTTTCTCCCAAACTTCATTTACTGCGTTCTTTACTACCACGCT